GGCTATTTTTTGGTTGCAGCCGTCATTGTTGTTTGGCGGGTCCGGGCTGGGGATTCGAACCCGCCACCTTCGGTGTACGTGGCTGGCGCCTTAGCCGGTTGAGCTATAGGCGCCAAGCCTGAGCTCCCACTTTTAATTCTACTCTATGTCTCTTGTCTTTCTTTACTGTTACTCCTAACTCTATTTCTTCAGGGGATTGCAGCCAGTTTCCACAGATCTCAGCTGACGTTCCTCTCGGGGTGGGACCCCAACACTTTTCTTTATTCCCAGTTTTTCAAAACCTCTCTTCAAGTAATAGGACAAGTGGCCTGCATTCTTTAATACTATAGCCACCAGCCACATGTAATTATTTAAAATTTAAGCTAAATAAATTAAAAATTTTCCGAGCCCATGCCAGACCCCGAGCCAGGCAGGCGGGCGGCAGTGGCGCTGCTCCAACCATGTCAGCCCGCGCCAGCCTGGGCCCACCATGAGCCATGGCCATGTCGGTGAGCGCTGAGGACGACGCCTATGAATTGGAGCCAGACCAGAACCCGGCTGTGGGTCGGCCCAAGGGGAAACTAGGCCCGTCTTCTGCAATGAAGTTGGCGGACAACCGGACAACCGCAGGAGCTCGCGGGCGCCGGACGCGATGCCGCAAGTGCGAGGCCTGCCTGCGGACAGAGTGCGGACAGTGCCACTTCTGCAAGGACCTGAAGAAATTTGGGGGCCCTGGGCGGATGAAGCAAAGCTGCATCATGCGGCAGTGCATCGCGCCAGTGCTGCCCCACACTGCTGTGTGCCTGGTGTGTGGTGGGGCGGGGAAGGAAGACACGGTGGAAGAGGAAGAAGGCAAATTTAACCTCATGCTCATGGAGTGCTCCATCTGCAATGAAATCATCCACCCTGGATGCCTTAAGATTAAGGAGTCAGAGGGTGTGGTCAACGACGAGCTTCCAAACTGCTGGGAGTGTCCGAAGTGTAACCACACCGGCAAGACTGGGAAACAAAAGCGTGGCCCTGGCTTTAAGTATCCCTCAAATCTGCCCGGCTCCTTGCTCAAGGAGCAGAAGATGAACCCGGACATCAAGGATGGGCAGGAGCCTACCAAGCAGAGGGGTGAATGTAAGGAGGCGCCCCGACGCAGATCAGACGAGCACCCCAAGAAGGTGCCCCCAGACGGCATCCTAGGTAGGAAGTCTGACGATGTGCACCTGAGGATGAAGCGGAAATATGAGAAGCCCCAAGAGCTCAGTGTGCACCTGAGGAGGAAGCGGAAATATGAGAAGCCCCAAGAGCTCAGTGGCTGCAAGCGAGCCTCGACGCTTCAGACGTCCCCGGGTTCCTGCTCTCACCTCTCTCCGCCCAGGCCCCCTCTAGGCAACAGCCTCAGCCCTTGGTGGAGATCCAGTCTCACTCACTTCCAGCAGCAGCTAAAACCTGGCAGAGAAGATAAGCTTTTCAGGAAAAATCGACGGCCCTGGAAGGATACAGAGGACCGGATGGCACTGGCCAACAAGCCCCTCTGGCCTTCAAGGAGGAACCCGAGGACGATCTGCCTGAGGCTCCCCCCAAGACCAGGAGAGTGACCACTCACGCTCCGGCTCTCCCACCGCTGGGCCCACCACCGAGGGAGCT